AAAAAAAACAACGAGTTTTTTAAAAAGTATACACTGATGTGTGGGTAGATGTTCACTTGTGAATTATTTCAAAAGATGTATTAATTGCAAGCCAATCAATAACTATGCTCACCTGCTTTAACCAGCCGCACTGCACACTCGCCGGGGCTGACTCCATGCAGATCTCCCTCGGGCCCTATGCACATGGTAGCCGCTATTGGCTTCCCAGATCCTTTCAGTGCCTCGACTGCCCACACAGCTTCCTCCACGTGTTCAAAATACTGAAATAAATGAAGTTTAATATACTTTTAGTCTTCTTGCTCCCTCAGACAATTTGAAAACATATTCTATTACTTAGCAATTTAATTATCACCCCCAAAATTCAAGCTCACCACCATCGAGCCAGTTCTGACTGTAGGACATGGTAGAACTGCCTCTGTGAGTTTCTGAGACTAACTCTGACAGGAATAGAATGCCTCATCTTTCTCCTGAGGAGTAACTGGTGGTTTGAACTGTTGACCTTGCGGGTGGCAGCCCAACTCGTAACCACCATGCCACCAGGGCTCCTCAAGAAAGAGATAAAGTGAAGTATCACTAGAAGAGGGTTTTTCCAGACTCTGCTTTGTGATATATTAGTATTTTTAAATGGAGACAATGTATTTTTTTTTTTTTTAACTGTGAACTGAAGTCAAAAGATTTGCTAAAAACTGTCTGAGATTCGCAAAACCAAGTTCGGAAGAAGAATTCGAAAACGAATTGCAACTATTCATGTCTGTGGAAGCACAGAGGAGAGACAACGCACTGCACTGCACAGGCTCCCCATTGCGCGGACGGCCCGGCTCACCTCGGCGATCAGGAAGTCCACGTTCTTCTTCATAAAGACCTCCAACTGCTGCTGGAATATTTTCTTAACTTCTGTCTCACTCTTGCAGCTGAGGTAGGATGGTGTCTGACTCACACCTCCGGCCACCAGAGCGTCTCCTTCGTCAGCCACTTGCCGGGCAATATCACAAGCTGCTTCATTGACTTTCTGTCCCTGGAGTGGGTTAATGTATGACACAGCTCAGTTTTCATGGGAAGTGGACATGCCTGCAACTGAAACCCACATCGTGGTGGTATGCACACAATAGTGGCTCTGCTCCAGAAAATGACAGTTCTTGAATAGCTCAGGGGTTTGGACAGTTTGAAATACCTAAGTTAATGGTAGTGATGATAACACTGATGGTCATTGTAGTACATTGTAGGGCGTTTCACTATGCCACTGACCTGTGAAAGGCTAAAAGTCTTTATATGAAGGGATCTAGTTGTGCTTAGAAGTATACTGTCAAATAGAGATGATGATGGCTTGTTTTTCTGATTAATAAGATTAAAATTCAGTTACGACGACTTTGGAATTCCTGAATCTTAGTTATCTATTTTCACAGATAATCTATAAATGTATAACTAGTAAGGAGTTTGTTGTTTTTTTAAAAAAATTATGACATTAAAAATGAATTCCTGTCCTCTAAAAACGACCGTAGCCCATTGCTGTCATACTGGGGTGGCTTGCCGGTGGCGGTGATGCGGGAAGCCATGCACTGGTATTTCAGGTACCAGCAGGGTCACTCCTGGTGGACAGGTTTCAGCAGAGCTTCCAGACTAAGAACAAGGTGCAGCAGGAATAGGCTGTCTACTTCTGAGGGCTCAGCCACGAGCAACCTCATGAATAGCAGTGGGACATAGTCAGACCATGTGTCACTGCAAGATGAGCCCCTCGGGTCGGAGGGCACTCAAAACACATCATCGACACAGAGGCTGCCACAATGGGCTCTGCCGTAGCAACAATTGTGAGGCTGGTGCAGGACCTGGCAGTGTGTCATTTCCTTGTCCATAGGGGGTCACTATGAGTGGGGATTGACTGGATTGCACCTAGCCACCACCACAACATAGTCCCTATAGACTATGGGAACTCCAGAAATTCCTTATGAGAGATGAGACAATGACAATCTTGTTGGGGTAAATGATTTGCCCAACATCACACCACTGATTGTAGCTGAGTTAGGGATTCCTTGAGTCAAATAATCTCTCCCCTAGACTATGCCCCATTAAAGCAAATCAAACTGTGAGAATGTAAGAACTCGTGATCATGTCAACTTTACTCAACAATTTAGACTAGAGCCATTAAATACTTTTTTGGGGGTATTCTCTGCTTTTTAAAAAATTGATTTATCATTTTACTTGGAACTCTTACAGATGTTATAACAATCCACAATTCAATTCGATCAAGCATAATTGTACAATTGCTGCCACTATCATTTTCAAAACATTTTCTTTCTTCTTGAACTCTTTTATCAGCTCTCTTTTATCCCCTCCCTTGCCCACCCTGCCCTCCAGGAACCCTCATTGTTATATATTATTATTATTATTATTATAAATATTTCTTCTTTAATCTGCTTGGTTAAATGCCTTTCGGTTAATTTGGGGGACTCCCGCTAAAATCAAAGAGTACCATTCACAAATGCATTTCGATATTATTTACAAACAGCCTCTGAAGAGGCTCTTTGACACTGCCCTAGGAGAAGCCTGTTTATGGGCTGTGTCTATCGCGCCCCTGTAAGACCCCAGGATGGTTTCACTCACAGATATTTTCTCTGCAACGTAGTTTCCCCTGTTCTCCAGCTTGTCTTCACTAGCATAAAAGGTGAAGGTCTGCATGACATTTGATCCAGCTCGGAGGAACTCTCGATGAAGCTGGCGGACTGGAAGATGGAATCAGGAAGGGTATGAATTTCTATTTGTCTGTTAGCCCTTAATGCTTCAAATAGGCTCACGGGTAAACAACTGTGAAAATAACTTCTCAAATTTACGGTTGTTAGGTATTGACACATCCTGGGGGTTAATGTGAGGTGCATCAAAGGCCTCTCAGCAACTCCCCCAAACTTGCTTTGATTGAATGTGGGTACATGGTGAGAGAAGTGCTTACATTCTTGTATTTGCTCATCACTGTATTGATGGAGGGCAAGATGAACAATGTTGGACATGAGGTGATTAATCTACTGTCTCTATCCATGGAGAAATTTACAACCCATCAAAGGATAGCATAGCACGGTTGGGTTATGCATGGGCAGGAGTGTGCTTGGGATTTAGGGGCATGATAAGCAATCTGAGAGGCTGGCTTTCAGTTTATGTTGAAGTTACTTGAAATGTCTGTTTGACTCACAGTAACCCTGAAAAACTGAACAGAACACTGCGCGGCCTGGTGTCACCCCCACGTTTTTATATGCTTGAGCCCATTTTGTAGCCACCAGGTCAATCCACCTTGCGAGGATCTTCCTCTTTTTGCCGCCCTTTTACTTTAACAAGTGTGGTGGCCTTCTCTTGGGACTGGTCTTTCCCTGATTACATGTCTTGGCCCAACAGGAACATTCTGGCTGTATGTCTTCCAAGACAGATTTGTTGGCTCTTTTGGAAATCCACGGTACTTTCAATATCTTTCTCCAGCACCCCGCATCGATTCTTTGGTCTTCCTTATTCAATATCCAACTTTCATGCACTTGAGCACTTTACATAGAGCTAATTTAATCTTTATCACAGCCTAATGAGGTATCTGTTAACATGAGTATTACCTCAGTTTCATAGAACAGGCAGTTAAAGCCCAGAGCAAAACTAAACCATTTCCCCAAGGTCATGTAGCCTAGTGACTATCTAAGACTGGATTGAGGCAGTCTGTCTCAGAGTCTATATGCTTCATTTCACAACTTACTCTCTCTCGATATACTTAAGTGGTTCATTTCCATCCTATCACTGAGTTCGTTGAACTATATCTTCCTTTAATAAACAAAACCAACTGCTCATGTTATATAGCATTTCCTAGAAATCCTCTAATTTCACCTGAATAACTCAGTCTTCCTTAAAGATGTTTTACATAGTAAACTTCCACTCTTGTCTGAACTCAGGCATGTCTGCTTAAGCCCCCTTCACCCACCAGGCCAAAAGGTAGACTGGCTGTGAGCCTCCATCACCAGTGACTGAGGGCCAGGGACCAGAGGTGGAGAGTTCACAGCAGCAAGGAGGGCTGTTGTGCTTGTCCACGATGGGCATTAGACTTACATACCTAGTGCAGTGCCTGGTAGGAAACAACATTTGGAAACTGGCATGAATGTATCAGTGTGACAGTATGCTTGCTCTTCCAACCGGGTCAATAGCTTTTATGAGAATTCAGATAGAGTTATGCACTAACCTGCCTCCGGGTGCTCTACAGCTGCTTCTGGGGTCCAGGGGCCTGCCTTCACGTAGCCTCTCTTCTCCAGAGCGAAGACAAAGCCTCCATCTCCAATTACAACCTCGCCAGCATTTAAGCGTTCTAGAATGCCCTGCAATGACAGATGAGATAGAGGGAGGAGGGGACAAGTTATGTAGTTCATTTGTAAGACAATTTTCTGGTTTTAATACTTTTGCTAGCTTATTCATGAGAAGTGTGTGTGTGTATATATATATGTTCCCCCCTCAAAACTCTCAGATCCAAGTATGCTCATGTTATTTTTTCTGCACATAAATTCTTGGTTATCTATAAGGCAAACTGCCAGAAAGCTCATTTTATATGAGTTTGTGGAAATGTTGATTGGTGCTAGAGGATGGGGAAGTTGTCTTTCAAACACATTATAGAATGTTTGGGGAATAAAAATGTGGTGGGAGGGTGTTCTGTTTGAAGAAATATCTGTTGAGGGATTAAGTCCAAAGGCTTTGCTGTAAAGCCACAAATGAATGTGTAAGCAGGCATTCTTAAAATGGTGAATCTTTGTCCACAATTCTCTCAGGAAGTGGAGCAGCTTCAGATTGCTAACAGAGAAGATTCAGGTTGATGAACTTGAAGTGATCTAGAGGCATATTAGCATTACTAAGCTGCATTGCAAATGAAAAAACCCGAAGACATTTTGGCAAGGACAGAAGACACCAAGGCAAAGGCAGCCTACTAAAAAATTTCTGCCTTTAGTGTGAAAATTCAGCTTCCAAAAGAGAGATTGTGCGCTATGCTACGCAGGAAGCTATAAGCCTGCACATTGTGCCCTCTGCTGGTGAGACCACAATAACAGGAAGTGGGGGGGGGGCACACTCAGACAAAACAATTTTCAGCTCCGTCACTCTGTCTACTCCATTGACAATGACAGCCCCAAACAATGCTCTGGGCTGCCAAGTCCATTCTGCCTGGTGTTAGCATTTAGTAAATACATTTAGAACTCAGCAATTTTCAAAGAGCTTTGTGGATCAGAAAACCATTTCCTAGTGTTGGTACTTTAATTTACCTTTCGTCTTCCATTTCTTACCAATAATGGCTGACAAAACAAGTGCTAAGATCTAACAAGAAAGGTTGCAGACATCTGTGGGAGGTACTGGTGGGACTTCATAGCCTTATTCCTGGCCATTCCTTCTTTTTTTTTTTTTTT